CCCTACGCGTAAGACGTACTAGTACGACGAAAACCCTCAAAGGGTTAAAAATCGTTTGTCTCCATTCACTCCTATCAAACACGCTCATGCATGCCCGCTGGAAGTCCAAGCCCCTCGCACACAAATCCTCCTTTACCCCCTCCCTCCAACCTTTCCTAGGCCGACCCCTAAGCCACCTTCCTTCCACTACAGACTGATATACTCTTGAAGTCATTCTGTTTCACTCCATTCTCTCTACATGTCCGAACCACCTCAACAACCCTTCCTCAGCCCTCTGGACAACAGTTTTGGCAATCCTGCACCTCCTCCTAACTTCCAAACTATGAATTCTCTGCATTATATTCACACCACACATTGCCCTCAGACATGACATCTCCACTGCCTCCAGCCTTCTCCTCCAAGGACAAAGTTCTTTGTCTCCACAGACTCCTAAGAGCACCGCTCACCCTTTTCCCCTCATCAATTCTATGATTCACCTCATCTTTCATAGACCCATCTGCTGACATGTCCACTCCCAAATATCTGAATACATTCACCTCCTCCATCCTCTCTCCCTCCAGTCTGATATCCAATCTTTCATCACCTAATCTTTTTGTTATCCTCATAACCTTACTCTTTCCTGTATTCACTTTTAATTTTCTTCTTTTACATACCCTACCAAATTCATCCACCAACCTCTGCAACTTCTCTTCAGAATCTCCCAAGAGCACAGTGTCATCAGCAAAGAGCAACTGTGACAATTCCCACTTTATGTGTGATTCTTTATATTTTAACTCCACGCCTCTTGCCAAGACTCTTGCATTTACTTCTTTTACTACCTATAAATATATTAAACAACCACGGTGACACACATCCCTGTCTAAAGCCTACTTTTACTGGGAAATAATCTCCCTCTTTCCTACATACTCTAACTTGAGCCTCACTATCCTCGTAAAAACTCTTCACTGCTTTCAGTAACCTACCTCCTATTCTATACACCTGCAACATCTGCCACATTGCCCCCCTATCCACCCTGTCATACACCTTTTCCAAATCCATAAATGCCACAAAAACCTCTTTAGCCTTATCTAAATACTGTTCACTTATATGTTTCACTGTAAACACCTGGTCCACACCCCCTACCTTTCCAAAAGGGCCTCCTTTTTCATCTGCTATTCTGTTCTCCATCTTACTCTTAATCTTTCAAAAATAACTCTACCATACACTTTACCAGGATACTCTACAGACTTATCCCCCTATAATTTTTTTCACTCTCTTTTGTCCCCTTTTCCTTTATACAAAGGAACTATGCATGCTCTCTGCCAGTCCCTAGGTAACTTACCCTCTTCCATACATTTTTAAATAATAGCACCAACCACTCCAAAACTATATCCTCACTGCTTTAAAAATTTCTGTCTTTATCCCATCAATCCCAGCTGCCTTACCCCCTTTCATTTTACCTACTGCCTCACGAACTTCCCCCACACTTACAACTGACTTTTCCTCACTCCTACAAGATGTTATTCCTCCTTGCCCTATACATGAAATCACAGCTTCCTCTCCTATTTTTAACTGACAAATTCATTTGTTCTCTAGGCTTCCTCAACTTGTTAATCTCACTCCAAAACTTTTTCTTATTTTCAACAAAATTTGTTGATAACATCTAGCCCACTCTCTCATTTGCTCTCTTTTTTACATTGATTCTTTTTGATTATAATAATAATTTACATTGCTTCACCACTCTCTTAACCTCTCTTTTTCTCAATATACCCTTCCCTCCTTGCATCACTTCTACTTTGTAAAAACTTCTCATATGCTAACTTTTTATCGCATACTACTCTCTTTACATCATCATTCCACCAATCGCTCCTCTTCCCTCCCGCACCAACTTTCCTGTAACCACAAACTTCTGCTGAACACTAACACTACATTTTTAAACCTACCCCATACCTCTTCGACCCCATTGCCTATGCTCTCATTAGCCCATCTATCCTCCAATAACTGTTTATATCCTACCCTAACTGCCTCCTCTTTTAGTTAATAAACCTTCACCTCTCTCTTCCCTGATGCTTCTGTTCTCCTTTTATCCCATCACCTTTACTCTCAGTGTAGCTACAACTAAAAAGTGATCTGATATATCTGTGGCTCCTCTATAAACATGTACTTCCTGAAGTCTACTCAACAATCTTTTATCTACTAATACATAATCCAACAAACTACTGTCATTTTGCCCTACATCATATATTGTATACTTATTTATCCTCTTTTTCTTAAAATATGTATAACCTATAACTAAACCCCTTTCTATACAAGGTTCAATCAAAGGGCTCCCATTATCATTTACACGTGGCACCCCAAACTTACCTACCACACCCTCTCTAAAAGTTTCTCCTACTTTAGCATTCTGGTCCCGCACCACAATTACTCTCTCACTTGGTTCAAAGGTTCCTATACATTCACTTAACATCTCCCAAAATCTCTCTCTCTCTCCTCTACATTCCTCTCTTTTCCAGGTGCATACACGCTTATTATGACCCACTTTTCGCATCCAACCTTTACTTTAATCCACATAATCCTTGAATTTACACATTCATATTCTCTTTTCTTCTTCCATAACTGATCCTTCAACATTATTGCTAACCCTTCCTTAGCTCTAACTCTCTCAGATACTCCAGATTTAATCCCATTTATTTTTCCCCACCGAAACTCCCCTACCCCCTACAGCTTTGTTTCGCTTAGGGCCAGGACATCCAACTTCTTTTCACTCATAACATCAGCAATCATCTGTTTCTTGTCATCCGCACTACATCCACGCACATTCAAGCATCCCAGTTTTATAAAGTTTTTCTTCTCTTTTTTAGTAAATGTTTACAGGAGAAGGGGTTACTAGCCCATTGCTCCCGGCATTTTAGTCACCTCATACAACACGCATGGCTTACGGATGAAAGATTCTTTTCCACTTCCCCATGGACAATAGAAGAAATAAAGAAGAACAAGAGCTGTTTAGAAGAAGGAGAAAACCTAAATGTATGTATGTATATATTTATACATGCATGTGCATGTCTGTGAAGTGTGACCAAAGTTTAAGTAGGAGTAGCAAGATATCCCTGTTATCTAGCATATTTATGAGACAGAAAGAGACACCAGCAATCCTACCATCATGTAAAACAGTTACAGGTTTCTGTTTCACAGTCATCTGGCAGGACGGTAGTACTTCCCTGGGTGGTTGCTGTCTACCAACCTAATACAACCATTAATACAACCTAATGCAAACATAAATTCCATACAAAAATACACTGCAAATTTGCTGTTTTAAACCAACACATGGTTCCAGTTTTTTTCTCATGCACCTAGTGCTGTAGGATTTTTTTATATACTCTGCATACTGACCATTCATACTTTAATGCTGTACCATGGGACCGACAGTCAATGGATTGAAAGTGACAATTTTATTTAGTGAAACGTGTGATAAAAAAAAAAATCTTGTTCTGTATGTTGTGTTGATAATTGTGGAATATTGTACTATACTGACTCATATTTCTATTGCAGAAGTATTTTGTGGAAGACTACCAGGTTGTGTCTTGCCAGACACTATATCTTCAGTACTTCAAGAAGCACCAGTGTAAGTGTCTTGAACAACAACTGATATTGCAGAAGTATTTTGTGGAAGACTACCAGGTTGTGTCTTGCCAGACACTATATCTTCAGTACTTCAAGAAGTACCAGTGTAAGTGTCTTGAACAACAACTGATATTGCAGAAGTATTGTGTGGAAGACTTCCAGGTTGTGTCTTACCAGACACTATATCTTCAGTACTTCAAGAAGTACCAGTGTAAGTGTCTTGAACAACAACTGATATTGCAGAAGTATTTTGTGAAAGACTACCAGGTTGTGTCTTACCAGACACTATATCTTCAGTACTTAAAGAAGTACCAGTGTAAGTGTCTTGAACAACAACTGATATTGCAGAAGTATTGTGTGGAAGACTTCCAGGTTGTGTCTTACCAGACACTATATCTTCAGTACTTCAAGAAGTACCAGTGTAAGTGTCTTGAACAACAACTGATATTGCAGAAGTATTTTGTGAAAGACTACCAGGTTGTGTCTTACCAGACACTATATCTTCAGTACTTAAAGAAGTACCAGTGTAAGTGTCTTGAACAACAACTGATATTGCAGAAGTATTGTGTGGAAGACTTCCAGGTTGTGTCTTGCCAGACACTATATCTTCAGTACTTAAAGAAGTACCAGTGTAAGTGTACTGAACTTCAGCTAATATTGCAGAAGTATTTTGTGGAAGACTTCCAGGTTGTGTCTTGCCAGACACTATATCTTCAGTACTTCAAGAAGTACCAGTGTAAGTGTACTGAACTTCAGCTAATATTGCAGAAGTATTGTGTGGAAGACTACCAGGTTGTGTCTTGCCAGACACTATATCTTCAGTACTTCAAGAAGTACCAGTGTAAGTGTCTTGAACAACAACTGATATTGCAGAAGTATTGTGTGGAAGACTTCCAGGTTGTGTCTTGCCAGACACTATATCTTCAATACTTCAAGAAAGGCAACATATGTTATTCTTGTGAATTTTTAGCTAAGTATTACTAATTAAACAATTTAACAATTTTACTTTAGTTATTGGGAATTCTATCTAAATATGCATGATAGTTAATGGAATAATGCAAGTTATTAATACTGTAATTAATAATTTTCAGAAAAATCTGTTGGAAAAAAAGACAAAATAAAAATGTTGAATGTATCTGCAGTGTACTAGTACATATATTAATCTTTTACCACAAAATAAAAATTATGATAGTGTTTTAACACACAATATAAACTTTATTAATGCTTATAAGTAGGAAAAGTTTTGCCTAAATAAATCTTAACATGGGAATATGTTCATAAGGAAAATCGTATGTTCAGTCTCCAAAATAATTAAAAAATAAAATATCTTGAAATTAACATGAATACATAAGGAAGATTAGCAATACCACTGTTGTATGACTAAAATATTTTGAATGAAATACCTTCAAAAAATATGGAAAAGCATAAAGATCATAAACCACATCAATGTTCAGAGTGTCTGAAATGTTTTAGTAGAAAAGGCAGTCTTGTGGCACATATGAGAGTACATACAGGAGATAAACCATATCAATGTACAGAGTGTCTGAAATGTTTTAGTCAAAAAGGCAGTCTTGTGCCACATATGAGAGTACATACAGGAGATAAACCATATCAATGTTCAGAGTGTCTGAAATGTTTTAGTAAAAAAAGCAATCTTGTGAGACATGTGAGAGTACATACAGGAGATAAACCATGTCAATGTTCAGAGTGCCTGAAATGTTTTGGTAAAAAAGGCAATCTTGTGAGACATGTGAGAGTACATGCAGGAGATAAACCATATCAATGTTCAGAGTGTCTGAAATGTTTTAGTAAAAAAAGCAATCTTGTGGCACATATGAGAGTACATACAGGAGATAAACCATATCACTGTTCAGAGTGTCTGAAATGTTTTAGTAAAAAAAGCAGTCTTGTGGCACATATGAGAGTACATACAGGAGATAAACCATATCACTGTTCAGAGTGTCTGAAATGTTTTAGTGATAAAAACAGTCTTATGAGACATATGAGAGTACACACAGGAGATAAACCATATCAATGTTCAGAATGTCTGAAATGTTTTAGTGATAAAAACAGTCTTATGAGACATATGAGAGTACACACAGGAGATAAACCATATCAATGTTCAGAATGTCTGAAATGTTTTAGTGATAAAAAACAGTCTTGTGAGACATATGAGAGTACACACAGGAGATAAACCATATCAATGTTCAGAATGTCTGAAATGTTTTAGTAAAAAAAACAATCTTGTGAAACATGTGAGAGTACATACAGGAGATAAACCATATCAGTGTTCAGAGTGTCTGAAACGTTTTAGTGAAAAAGGCAGTCTTGTAACACACATGAGATTACATACAGAAGATAAACCATATGAATGCTCTGAGTGTCTGAAATGTTTTAAAGTAAAAAATTATCTTGTGAAACATGTGAGAGCACATACAGGTGATAAACCATATCACTGTTCAGAGTGTCTGAAATGTTTTAGCGATAAAAACAGTCTTGTGAGACATATGAGAGTACACACAGGAGATAAACCATATCAATGTTCAGAGTGTCTGAAATGTTTTAGTGAAAAAAACAGTCTTGTGGTACATGTGAGAGTACACACAGGAGATAAACCATATCAATGTTCAGAGTGTCTGAAATGTTTTAGTTATAAAAACAGTCTTGTGAAACATGTGAGAGCACATACAGGAGATAAACCATATCAGTGTTCAGAGTGTCTGAAATGTTTTAGTTATAAAAACAGTCTTGTGAAACATGTGAGAATACATACAGGAGATAAACCATATCAGTGTTCAGAGTGTCTGAAATGTTTTAGTGAAAAAGGCAGTCTTGTAACACATATGAGATTACATACAGGAGATAAACCATATCAATGCTCTGAGTGTCTGAAATGTTTTAGTAGAAAAACCTATCTTGTGAGCCATACACAAAAACATTCAGGAGATAAAACATGTTAGTGTTTAATGTTTCAGGAATAATTGAGAGTGAAATATGATAATGAAATTCCAGTCATGTAAACCATATACCTAGTAGGTTGGTAGGCAGCAACCACCCTGGGAGGTATTACCATCCTGTGGTTGTAGGTTGGTAGACAGCAACCACCCAGGGAGGTACTACCATAGTGTGGTAGTAGGTTGGTAGACAGCAACCACCCAGAGAGGTACTACCATCCTGTGGTAGTAGGTTGGTAGACATCAACCACCCAGAAAGGTACTACCATCCTGTGGTAGTAGGTTGGCAGACAGCAACCACCCAGGGAGGTACTACCATAGTGTGGTAGTAGGTTGGTAGACAACAACCACCCAGAGAGGTACTACCATCCTGTGGTAGTAGGTTGGTAGACATCAACCACCCAGGAAGGTACTACCACCCTGTAGTAGTAGGTTGGCAGACAGCAACCACCCAGGGAGGTACTACCAACTTGTGGTAGTAGGGTGGTAGACAGCAACCACCCAGGGATGTACTACCATCCATTGGTAGTAGGTTGGTAGACAGCAACCACCCAGGAAGGCACTACCATCCTGTGGTAGTAGATTGGTTGACAGCAACCACCCAGTGAGGTACTACCATCATGTGGTAGTAGGTTGGTAGACAGCAACCACCCATGGAGATACTACCATCCTATGGTAGTAGGTTGGTAGACAGCAACCCCCCAGGGAGGTACTACCATCCTGTGGTAGTAGGTTGGTAGACAGCAACCACCCAGAGATGTACTACCATCCTGTGGTAGTAGGTTTGTAGACAACAACCATGCAAGGATGTGCTACCATCCTTTGGTAGTAGGTTGTAGACAGTAACCACCCAGGGAGGTACTATCATCCTGTGGTGACAAGTTGGTAGACAGCAACCACCCAGGGAGGTACTACCATCCTGTGGTTGTAGGTTGGTAGACACCAACCTCTAAGGTAGGTACTACCATCCTGTGGTAGTAGGTTGGTAGACAGCAACCACCCAGGGAAGTACAGTGGACCCTTGTTTTTCGTAATCCGTTCCAAAGAGTGTGACTGTTATCGAAATTGACCATTTGCTAATCCTTTTTCCGCATAAATAATGTAAATCCAATTAATTTGTTCCAGACATGCAGAAGTATCAACAAAAAAATTTTTTTTTTTACCTTAAAGATAGATTTACATGCAAAAGAGAGTGAACATTCAACATGACAGTTACCTTTATTGCAGGGCTGCATCTGCTCTTCTTGCCACCTCCCTAGTTAAGAACGATAATAAATTTGTTGAGTTAGGCATAAGAATTATCAACTGGGCATCTACACTGCAAACTGAATTGTTTGCAATCCTAATGGCACTAAAGCTAACCTATGACACTGAGCTTGACTCTATCATTATTACTGATTCTATGTCATCATTGAAGGCTCTTGACTCATATTGTGACTCCAATAACATGCTCATTGGAGAAGCCAGGTATAGATACTCAAAAATCAGGGACAAAGGAATTAATGTACAGTTGCATCACACATTGGATTACTCCTTCATGATAAAGTTGATATGTTAGCCAAGAAGAGTACCCAGAAGGAGAATGTAGAATATAACTGGTATAACTGTGTCTAGCATTAGGAATAATATTAGGAGAGAAGTAAATAATGAAAATGATTGTTATAGGAATGCAGTTAGAAGCCTGAGTAGATCTGTAACCCACTATGATAACATGAACATAGATAAGTATGTTTATGGAGCAACGTGCAATGTGAACAGACTGACTGATGTTGTAGTGGCCAGGCTTAGGCTTAGTTACAAGTACTTCTGGCAGTTTGGGAGACAGATGATCAAACTAAATGTAAATTATGTGATCAGGCATATGGTCACTGTCTTGAACACTATGTGCTTAATTGTCCACTTATTGAGGAATACAGAGACAGACAGTATAATAACCTATGTGACATGTCAAGATATCTTATTAATAAAAATGAGATACCAGATATACTAAGCAAATTTCCTAAATTTGCTTGTAACAGATAAGTAAACTATAGATATGTAGATATAAATCCATATGTATTCATGTTAACCTCTTCGGGCCTAGTTCCTGGGCCTTTTGTGTATCCATATGCTCTTGCATGTGGATATGGGGATGGATATTGGGTGCACAATAAACTAGCCACTTTGGTGGCAAAATCTAATCTAATCCTTTATTGAAAGCTGTTGTTGATGAATAGAAGATAGGGAGGAGGAGAGAGGGAAGACAGGGTATTGTTTGGAAGGGGAATCCCCTCCATAAGGACTCTAGGTCACTTTCCTCTTCAAGGGGGGCACCTTGGTGTGATGAAGAGGCTCTTGGTCTGAGGAATTAGACCTGTTGGTCTCCTTCCTCAGACCAAACCTAATTACCCCAATATTCCCCCTTCCCTCTCCCTTCCTCCCCATCCTCCCCTTTTTCTTTTCCTCCTTCTCCTCCCCACCCCTCCCTTTTGGCCTTTGGGATTTTTTCCCACAGGCACGCTAGTTCCTAGGTAGGGGAAAGGGTACTGGGGTCCATCCCATTCCATTGAGGTTCTTGGCAGTGGCATAGTTTGCCGTGGAATCTGGATTGCCTGGGGATGTCCCGATCCCTCTCCAGTATCCTGGAGGGTGGCTTTGGGTGTCTCAGGTGACGGGTGTATCTCTGGAAGCCACCTTTCGGATTCCGGGGGTGGTGGCCGAAGGAGGTATGCTTTGTGGTGGATATCCAGCCGCCCTCTATTTTGTCCACCGAGGTAGCTCGGCAGATGCGAGGATGCTATCCCGGATTGCCACTTTACTAGCATGATGGGTAGGGTATGGCACGGGTTCCATGCTGCATCTGCGCTACTTGTGGTGCTGAGGTCCTCTTGGGTGCGGAGGGAGATTTCTGGCCCTTTCATTCCTCCTAGGAACTATCCCTCCCTGGTCCCCCCTTTTTATTCTTTTTTTTATTTTTATTTTTTCTTCTTTTTTTTTTCATCTTGAAAACAAAAAGAAAGAAGTAACCTAACCATGGCAGCCCTTGTCCATGAACCTGCTACCCCTGGGCCCCTTCTTGATACTGCACCCCGTTCTGACCCCGTCTCAACTTTGGACCACTCTTCAGACACTCTTCATGCCTCTGTACCTCTTGCCGGTGCTGTTTCCTCACCAGCTTCAGGTACTGAGGTCTCAACAGACTCCTTCAATTTGTCTGACCTCCGCTCTCCTTTGACTATGCTTCCAGCCTCTCCCTCTATGGTGCGGCAATTTTCGAATCGCCGGCCTGTTCCACGTCGGACCAACTCTGGTCCCACGCCTAAATGCCAATGACAATTACCTACTGATGATCCTTCTCCACCTCATTCTTCTCAGAAAAGATCGACACATCCTGCACTACCTTTTCACGCTCAGTTTCAGAATGCACAATGGACTAAATTCTTCACTTTATGACCGACTTCCTCTACTGCCTATCTTTCCCACCATAGTATTGGCAAGGCACTCCTACGCCATGTTGGTAAAGATATTTCTTTTCATGCTCTTAAGAGTGGTATGCGCATCATCACCATACAGAATGCTACCCAAGCTCATGATCTTTCTCTTCTTTCCCATATCGATACTGTTCCTGTCACTATTGAAAAACATCATTCCCTCAATTCTTGTAGTGGTACCGTCATTCTGCCCCATACCGTAGTTCAACAAAATTTCCAGACATGTGGCAATGACATTCTTGAACAGCTGGAACTCCAAGATCTCCCAATCCTCAAGGTAGACACTTAAGTTCTTTCTGCTCGCAGGCGGAGACGATACCCTAGCAATGTGGCTCGATTAGCTTTTGACAGCTGTGAACTCCCATCTTCAGTTTATGTAGCAGGACATCAGTTACAAGTTTGAAAGGTGATCCCTACACTGCAACAGTGTAGAAATTGCTGGCGATTTGGCCATCAAGTGAAATATTGCAGATCTATTGCCGAATGCCCAGTCTGTGGTGCCAATGACCATTCTAATACGTCTTGCAATCAACCTCCCTCTTGCCTTAATTGCCATGAGGCTCACCCTTCATACTCTCGCCGTTGCCAAGTCTACTTAAATGAGCGGGAAATCCGTTACCTCAAAGAGGCAGAAGGTCTCCCTTATGCCATGGCAGTTTCTCATCTCCACCTCCAAGGGAGACTACCCTGTGTTTCTTATTCCCGTGTTTCAAAATGTCCCCCTACTTCTGGGGTTCTGTCTTCTGCAGCCTCCTCTGTGGTTACCTCTCCCATAGTCACTCCTGTATCTAATTCTTTTGCCGTCCTAGACTCCGACGTCCCTACTTCAACGCCTCAGTCTGATCTCGCTTCTTCGTGTTCTCCCTCACAAGCCTCAGTATCGATGAGATCTCGAACGACACCTCCTCCCAGTCGTCCCTCTACTTCTCAGAAGTCAAAAAAAGGTCCTTTAACCCCTCCTTCCCTTCTTCCACCTCATTTTACCTTCCCTGTCTCTGTACCTGGTTCTTCCCCTCTCGCTGGCTCTGTTACAAGTGTAGAGGTTCACCCTCCTCCTCGTACTGTACCTTCCTCCCCTGTTCCCTCCCAAGTTTCTTCCTCTGCCACCTCCCAGGTTTCTGCCTCTTCTGTCCCCTTCCACACTTCTTCTCCAGTTCCCTCCACCCTTTTGCCCCCCCCCTACCTTGGTACAGTCCATTACAGTTCCAATCTTTACTCATCCTACCCCTACCATCTCCAATATTGTCTCCCATTCAACGTCTCTGAATTCCGAAACACTTAGCAATCTCTGAATATATTGCAGAGACCAAACCATCAATGGACACTGATCCACCCTCCGTTCCTTCTCTCTCCTCTCCTCCATCTGTGCAACTTCTTCACAGCGCACCGTTCCTTCGCTGCTTGAACGTTTTCCAATGCCTCCGCATGTGGACTTTTCTAGCCCCTCTAGTCCGTAGGAACCCTTACCTAAGGATTTCAGGTATCTTTATCATTGCCAATCATGGTCTATTTACAGTGGAATATACACAGCCTCAGGTGTAATTGGGGTGAGCTTGAGATGTTACTCTCCTAGTTTTCCCCTGTTGGTGTTTGCTTACAGGAACCAAAACTACACTGCTGTTATCTATCTCATCTCAGGCTATAATTTATTGTATTCTTCAGATCCTTTTCCTGATGGGACCTTTAATGAAAGTGCTCTTCTTCTACGCACTGATATTCCATACCATCAGCTATTTGTTCGTACTTCACTGCATTACACAGCAGCCCGTATCCTCTTGCATAGGTGGTATACGCACTGTTCTTTGTATCTCCTTCTCGGGCATTATCTATTCCACATATTGCCTTTCTTGTTTCGTCATTACCACCACCGCTTCTGTTACTTGGCGATTTTAATGCCCATCATTTCCTCTGGGGGGTCTCACTGTGATTATCATGGCATTCAGTTAGAGGCTTTTCTTGCTACCCACCCCCTCCATGTTTTAAATACAGGTACTCACACCCATTTTGATCCACGGACTCAAACTCTCTCTTACATCGATCTCTCAGTCTGCTCTTCCTCCTCTGCATTAGACTTCACCTGGTCTGTTCTCCCAGATTTACATGACAGCAATCATTTCCCAATCATTCTTACTTCCCCTTCATATTCACCACCTCTTCGTATCCCACGCTGGCAGTTTGATCAGGCAAATTGGAACCTTTACTCACAACTAACTGTTTTTAGTGAGGTTCCTTCATTGTCCTCCATTGATGAGCTTTTACACCTCTTCTCGTCCTCCGTTTTAACCGCAGCTTCTCATTCTATACCCCAAACTTCGGGCAGGCATTCTCAGAAATGCATGCCTTGGTGGTCTCCTGCCTGTGCTCGTGCAGTACGTTTGAAACACGCTGCATGGGGCAGGTACCAGTACAATAGAACCACTTAGAGACTCCTTGATTTTAAGCAGAAGTGTGCGATCGCTCGTTGTGTCATCCGTGACACTAAACGCACTTGCTGGCAAGATTGTCTCCACCATCACCTCTGCTTCCTCTATGAGTGCAGTCTGGAGAAAAGTACGAAAACTGAGTGGTAAATATTCTCCTGACCCGGCTCCTACTCTGTGGGTTGCTGGTGTTGATATTGCAAACCCACTAGATTTTGCCAATGAAATTGGCAATCATCTGGTCCGTGTTTCCCGAGGGCTTCATCTATGCCCCTCCTTTTTTTCCTCAAGGTCTGCCAAAGAGTTAGCCCCCTTTGGGACTTTTCTTCTCTCAGAAGAACAGTATAATGTGCCTTTTACACTTCAAGAACTGGAGGCAACACTCTCAGCTTGCCTATCATCGGCAGCTGGGCCCGACGACATTCATATTCATATGCTACAACATTTACATCAGTCTACCCTTGCAGTCCTATTACGCCTTTTCAATCTTATTTGGTCACAAGGAGTTCTTCCACAGCTGTGGAACTCTGCCATTGTTCTCTCTTTCTGCAAATCGGGTACTACGGGACATGAAGCCTCCCACTATTGTCCCATTGCTCTTACCAGTGCAGTTTGCAAAGTGATGGAACGCCTGATAAATAGACGTTTAGTGTGGTATTTAGAGACACACAACAGTCTCTCCACTCATCAATATGGCTTTCGTAAGGGACGTTCTACCATAGACCCCTTACTAAGCTTGGACACGTGTGTTTGTAATGCCTTTGCAAATAACCACTCAGTTATTGCCATATTTTTTGACCTTGAGAAGGCATATGACACAACTTGGAGGTATAATATTTTGGCCCAGGCCCACTCCTTAGGCTTCCGAGGCAATCTACCATCCTTCCTTAAGAACTTTTTAACTGACAGGCATTTCCGTGTTCGGGTTAATAATGTGCTCTCCCTGGACTTTATCCAAGCTGAAGGTGTCCCCCAGGGATGTGTTCTGAGCACAACACTTTTTCTCCTTGCTATAAATGATTTGGCCTCTAGTCTTCCATCAAATATTTGGTCATCACTCTATGTTGATGACTTCGCTATTGCCTGTGCAGGCGCTGACTGTCACCTTATTACAGTTTCTCTCCAGCATGCGGTCGACGGTGTTTCCAATTGGGCCACCACACATGGGTTTAAATTTTCCAGCACCAAAACTCACCAAATTACTTTCACTAGATGCTCTGTCATCTCCGATCATCCTTTGTACCTCTATGGCTCCCGTATCCCTGAACGTGATACAGTCAGGTTTCTGGGCCTCCTCTTTGACCGTAGGTTATCCTGGAAACCTCACATTACCTCTCTGAAGGCAACTTGTCACAGCCGGCTGAACCTTCTTAAAATCCTTGCTCATCTTTCATGGGGAGCTGATCGTCGAACTCTGCTTCGCTTACATTCCACCCTCATTTTATCGAAACTTGATTATGGTGACCAGTTCTATTCAGCGGCCTCTCCTGCTACTCTCTCTAGCCTTAACCCCATTCATTACCAAGGATTACATTTATGCCTTGGTGCTTTTCGCTCTTCCCCTGTTGAGAGCCTCTATGCAGAAGTGAACATTCCATCCTTATCCGATCACCGTGATGCCCATTGCCTTCGCTACTATGTACGCTCTCATGATCTCGCAATCCTTCCATTTATAGAATGGTCACTGATATTAGTAGACATTCTTTATTTGTTCGCCGCCCCTGTTTACTCCGTCCCTTCTCTCTTCACCTTCATTCGCTCTTGTCTTCTCTTCAATTACCACCTTTCTATGTTCATGTAGCATCTCACTTTTCCCTACCCCCCTGGGAAGTTCCAGCTGTTCGAGTCTGTTCTTTCTCTCTCCCTTGCTCGAAGGCCCAACTGTCTACCGTCGCTTCCTGCTCTCTTTTTCTTGACCACTTCCACTCTTATTCTCATGCCATTGCTGTGTACACAGATGGCTCTAAGTCTTCTGATGGCATAGGATTCGCAGCAGTGTTTCTGGACAGCATCGTACGAGGGCATTT